ACGTTTATACAACTTCACTACATATGTATTCATCAAAATCAGACTTATTTTTCTGTCTTTGAAACGTATTTTTATGATATTTAGAAGTATTTTTGAGAAACAAAATAACTTCATTGTAATTGAAAATTTATAATCTTTCTGTTGAAGTATAATAATTGTAGATGAAGTTACAATACACAAAATATATGGCAACAGAGGATTCTTGGTGTTACAGTCATTGCAAATTGATATACAATGTTATTAATTTTAAATTGCAACAAATGTATGTACTTATAATTTATTTTAACTTGTTATTCTACTTAATTATCGAATTACCGAGACTTCTGTTAGCGTCATACGATAGTACAAGCTTTCATGTATTCGTGAGTCAGTCTGCGTACGGGGCTGTGATTTACATTCGCATAGAAATAGTTGATGACTCTGGCCGTACCCTTCGACTACACTGTTTATTACTCGCGCTTGTTTTCGGAATCTGAATCTGAATCTGAGTGCACTCTGGCCGTACCCATAGACATAAGTATCATACTGGTGTCGATTCTGACATGATTCTCTAAACCTAAACATAAATTAGTCAACAGTGGTGTCGATTCTGACAGGATTCTCTAAACTTAAAACTTAATTTAACATCACTCTGTCCTTTTCATTCTGTATAGAGAATGACAAAGATATACTGTTGTCAAATTTAAGTTTAGCTTTAGAGAATCATGCCAGAATCGACATTATTCTATCATTTTTGTTTCTTAGGTTTTCACGCACATCACTCATTACTTAAATAAAATTAGTTTTAACGGATTAATCCACGAAACTTTATTTATTTATTGACGTTTCGCAGCCTTTCCAGGTAAGCATTGTCAGAATACTGATTTTTATTTAATTTTGTCGAGCTACCTTCGAAAGACTTTTATTGAACGTTCGGTTATTACAACTTGTTCTCTTATTGGTCTGTGGTTATTACATTGGAAGATTTAAAAAAAATATATTGTCTATGTATGAATTTAATAGTTAATTTAGTTAATAAGGTACTTTATTTAAAATTCTTTTTTGTAATTTTGAGTTTATTTATTTGGCCCTAACTACCGTAAACTACCACCGGTTCCAAAATTGGGAGACCTTTCTGAGAAGAACCGGCGAAACAAACTCAGAGAGGCTTTCTATCTCATTCTTATGTTATATCATGCAAACAAAAAGAACTAATAGTATCTGTTCGTCTTGCAGTGTGTGCTCGGGGTTGGGATTTTATCTCTTATATAATGGGTTCCCAAGTTGGTGGTATATACCAACCATCTTCCCTACTGAAATTTGGATATTTTTTAATCTCAATAGCCACGCGTATCATTCTAGTACTGAATCGTTGCTCAGTTGCAAGGATCTGTGGTATATCAAATCTAATGTAATGGTTTGGTCCCCTTGATGCATGTTCAGTGTTCACACACTTTAGACTTATTTTTGCGCCTATGTTTCATATCTGCGATATGTTCTTTTATCCGAGTCCCTATACTCCTCTTTGTTTGCCCGATGTAGGAGAGCCCACAGTCGCATTCAAGTTTGTAGACACCAGCAACTTGAAAGGGTATAGTGCACTTGACAGGTCGTAGAAACTTGTTGATCTTCTTTGGCGGCTTGGAGTAAGTATTGATCGAAGCACGCTTTAGAATACTCCCAATATTTTTAGTGGTGTCGATTCTGGCATGATGCTCTAAACCTAAACTTAAATTTGACAACAATGGTGTCGATTCTGGCACGTTTCTCTAAATCTAAACTTAAATTTAACAACAGTGTATCCTTGTCATTTTCTATACAGAATGAAAATGAGAGACTGATGTTAAATTTAGTTTTAAGTTTAGAGAATCACGCCAGAATCGATACCAGTGTGTCTTTGTCATTCTCTATACAAAATGAAAAGGAGAGACTGATGTTAAATTTAGTTTTAAGTTTAGAGAATCACGCCAGAATCAGTAGCAGTGACTCTTTTCATGTAAGGAAGTATAGCAGGTTGTCGGTCGACTTTGCTAGGTTTGGTGCGATTGTGACGGCGACGTGGTTCATTCAAATTATTATTCTTCAGTACTCGCTCGACATGCTGACATTCAGCTGCCAGGTGTTGTTTGTCACAGACACCCTGTGCTCTCTGAAACAAAGAGTTCTACGGCAGTTAATTGTTTCGGGTAATGGTGTGAATCACCATTGAGGTACCTACCTATCAGTATGAGTTACTTTACGATACACAGTATGGATAATCTTTGGTCTGGATTCCTGATTAATAAAATATCTAGAAAAGCTAGTTTACTATCTGCCTCTAACTCCATAGTGAATAGGATGTTGGGGTGTATAGAGTTAAGGTGATTTAAAAAGGCAGAAATTTGATCTGTTGGGAGGATTGTGAAAGTATCATCTACGTACCGCTTGTATAGCCTGGGTGTGACAGGTGCCACGCTGAGAGCCCTCTTCTCGAAGTCTGCCATGAAAATATCGGCGACAACAGGTGAGACAGGAGAACCCATCGCAACGCCCTCCATTTGTATATAGAAGTCATCCCCCCATAATAGATAGCCTGATGTAAGGCAATGTTCTAGTAATACTGCATATTCTACAGGCATATTATTTTCAAGTAGTTCTTCCTAGTGATTTCAATGCAGTCCCGTACTGGTAGGCATGTAAATAAGGACTGAACATCAAAACTCACCATGATTTCGTTGGCCATGAGACGTTGATCCTGCCTGAATCTCATTGACAAACTGGTATGAATCTTTCACTAAGGCTGTTGTGTAACACAACTCTCAGTGTATCATTGTCAGTCTCTGTAGAAAATGAAGAGGAAAGATTGATGTTAAATTTAGTTTTAAGTTAAGAAAATCATTGCTATGGCCTCTGTCATGTTTCTCGTTACGCTTGTTTTCGCAGATTGTTGTCAGTTCTGTTGAAATTATGAGTTTTGTGATAAATCCTTCATAATAATGGTGTCGATTCTGGTACGATTCTCTAAACTTAAAACTATAGTCCAGTCGGAATAAACATGAGACCTATTCTAAGACACCAGCGCTTAGCCAATTTTTTCCTAGATAGTATAGACCCCCACGAATATGCCCTCCATTTGTCCCCGCTAGAACCCGTGTTTTGTAGCCAGGGAAATTGTTTAAACAAAGAAAAACCGTTTTTTTTGAGTTTTTTTGCTTGTAAACGAGGATTTTGAAATTTTTTTTGAATCAAAGTTGTTCATTAGCTTGCCCTCTACAAAATCAGTTCTATGAAAAAATAACGTGAGATTGTTAGTTTAGCAGTAAATTGCAATTATGTCGGTTTTACGTTTGCAACAATTCAACATGTTATAATAAACATTTTGATTTCTAAAGTAGTTTATCATGTGGGTAACGCCACTCCCGAGAGAGTCATGTAAAATTTATCGACCTGTGTCGCAAACTTTAGCAACAATTCTCAATCTCCGAAAAAAAAGTACTTGCCTGTCCCGTCTTTCCCAGAAGGCGCACAGCGGGAAAAAAAATTCAGGTGATTCGATTCACCAAGAATTTTGAGGAATCGATCGAGTAGAAAAAAATCGTTACTAAAAATGTTCGTTTTTGGACGATTTAAATTTTTTTTAAAAATTGACGTAGAATAATTTTTTTTTAAACTAATGTATTTTTCGCTCCTCAACTCGAATATACGATTGAAAATTTAAAAAATTCAGTTTATTTATGTACAGAAATTATTTACAAAACTATTAACTAAAATTCGATTACAAGACTGCGTTGTATTCTATATTTCTAATTAAATTTATTTCCTCCTTTTTTCTTCCGGTTCATAATCGGAATTCTCAGGCTATATTAGTATTATATATATATTATATATATATTCAGAATAGTATATTCGAGTCGAGGAGAGAAAAATACATTAGTTTAAAAAAAAAATATTCTACGTCAATTTTTAAAAAAAATTTAAATCGTCCAAAAACGAACATTTTTAGTAACGATTTTTTTCTACTCGATCGATTCCTCAAAATTCTTGGTGAATCGAATCACCTGATTTTTTTTTCCCGCTGTGCGCCTTCTGGGAAAGACGGGACAGGCAAGTACTTTTTTTTCGGAGATTGAGAATTGTTGCTAAAGTTTGCGACACAGGTCGATAAATTTTACATGACTCTCTTGGGAGTGGCGTTACCCACATGATAAACTACTTTAGAAATCAAAATGTTTATTATAACATGTTGAATTGTTGCAAACGTAAAACCGACATAATTGCAATTTACTGCTAAACTAACAATCTCACGTTATTTTTTCATAGAACTGATTTTGTAGAGGGCAAGCTAATGAACAACTTTGATTCAAAAAAATTTTCAAAATCCCTGTTTACAAGCAAAAAAACAAAAAAACCGGTTTTTCTTTGTTTAAACAATTTTCCTGGCTACAAAACACGGTTTCTAGCGGGGACAAATGGAGGGCATATTCGTGTGGGTCTATACTACCTAGGAAAAAAATTGGCTAAGCGCTGGTGTCTTAGAATAAAAGTCGGTCCAAATTATGGCTATTCCGACTGGACTACTAAATTTAACATCAGTCACTCCTTTTCACTATGCATAGAGAATGACAAGAATAAATTGGTGTCAAATTTAAGTTTAGGTTAAAGGGAAGCATGCCAGAATCGACACCACTGGTGTCGATTCTGGCGTGATTCTCCAGAATTAAAACTAAATTCAATATCAGTCTCTCCTTTTTAATCTGTGTAGTGAATGACAAGGATATACTGTTGTCAAATTTAAGTTTAGGTTTAGAGAATCATGCCAGAATCGACATCACTGGTGTCAATTCTGACACGATTCTCTAAACCTAAACTTAAATTTGACAACAGTGTATCCTTGTCATTCTCTATACGGAATGAAAAGGAGAGATTGATGTTAAATTTAGTTTTAAGTTTAGAGAATCACGCCAGAATCGACACCACTGTATACTTAAAATCTAAGGGCAAGTGTTTATATTTTCACTCTTTGTGGCACGTACTTGACAAGTATTAACATCCCAGATAATTTTAATTGTATATAAATTGAATAACTACTTTGGCTATACTAGATCGTCACATTTTATCACTGTGCATATTTAAATTATACTAAACAAAAAAAAATAGTTTTTTGTTTATTAATCACCATTGTACACCTGGCCGTAAAAAAAAGTAATCCACCATAGACAAGATTTTGACGTCCGACGCCGCTAATTCTATTTATATTACGTTGGTAGCACTGTTGCTAGCGCCATTTTTGTTATACGCAAGAAGCTGCGTAAGGTGATTTTTTTTTACTCATAGCAGTTTGGCGTTAGTGCGAAAGAGAAAGTTGATTCAGTTTCGTTTATGTAGCTGCAACTGACCTGAATATTTTCTTCAAAGCTTATTTACGACGTTTCTCAGTGTCTATGCTATAGATACGCATCCTGAGCGATACATACGGTGTAAAGCTTTTAGTGACAAATGTTTAATAAAAATGAAGGAAAACGCGGTACTTAAGTGGCAAAAAGTCTACAATCCTACTGGCCCCCAACCACGTCCTCGCCATGGCCATCGCGCTGTCGCCATCAAAGATTTGATGATAGTTTTCGGCGGCGGAAACGAAGGAATAGTTCATGAGCTCCATGTCTTCAATACTACTACAAATCAATGGTTTGTTCCTGTTACGAAAGGAGAAGTGCCTCCAGGATGCGCTGCCTACGGCTTCGTCGTCGACGGTACAAGACTTCTGGTGTTTGGCGGCATGGTTGAGTACGGCAAGTATTCTAACGATTTGTATGAACTACAGGCCTCCAGATGGGAATGGAAACGTTTAAAACCACTGCCACCGAAGCAGGGACTTCCACCATGCCCTAGACTAGGTCATAGTTTTACTCTTTTGAATGGAAAAGTATATCTATTTGGAGGTTTGGCTAATGAAAGTGATGATCCTAAGAACAATATTCCCAGGTACCTCAATGATTTATATACTTTGGAATTATATCCCAATTCATCAATGACTGTGTGGGACATACCCTTGACTTATGGGCAGTCCCCTCCACCCCGAGAGTCACATAGTGGGGTCTCTTATACTGACAAGAATACTGGCAAATCATCACTAATTATTTATGGAGGAATGAGTGGATCCCGTCTTGGTGACCTATGGGTGTTAGATGTAGACAGTATGTCGTGGTCTCGCCCCGAGGTGGGTGGGCCTCCACCGCTTCCTCGTTCTCTGCACACTGCTACTGTGATCGGTCACCACATGTATGTGTATGGTGGATGGGTACCACTCGTACCGGACGAATCTAAACTCGCTACTCATGAGAAAGAATGGAAATGCACAAACACACTCGCTTCTCTCAATTTAGAAAATATGACTTGGGATAACATTGCCCTTGACAAGTTCGATGAATGCGTACCTAGGGCACGAGCCGGACACAGTGCTGTTGCCATACAGACAAGACTTTATATTTGGTCTGGACGCGACGGCTACAGGAAAACTTGGAACAATCAGATATGCTGTAAAGATCTTTGGTATCTCGAAGTAGGTGTGCCACCGCAAGCTGGCCGTGTGGCACTCGTACGTGCTGGTACCACGTCACTGGAATTATGTTGGCCAGCAATGAACACTATCACTACTTATGTATTGCAAGTGCAGAAGTGTGGAAAGGTGACGCCGGCCAGGTTCCCCGCCGCCGCCGAGCCGGTCGCCGCGCCGCCCCCCGCCTCTCCTATTGCTTCCCAGCCCGACGCAGCCGCTAAAGCATTCGGACTCACATCGCCTGTATCGTCAGGATTGCCTTCGACGCCGACGGAGTTGCCCGTGCGCCCAGTCGCCGCTGCCGCGTCGCCAGCCCCGACCATAGTTACTACTCCCCAGAAAATACTACCAGGTACTATCAAGGTAGCTTCTCAAGCCGCCGCCACAGTCAAGATATCACCCAATACGCCGACGCTTAAACAGGCTACGTACCAAGCTAAAACGGTCGTCAAATCTCCAGCCGCGGGGTCTTCGCAGCAGATCAAAGTTGCGGCTGTCACTCCTCAAGGTGTTACGAGGATAGTGAGTGGCGTGTCTACGCCGACCACGGTGCGCGTGTCCACCGCTCAATCTAGTGCACAGATTGTTCTAGGCTCTGGAACTTCAGCTGGTACACCGAGATTCGTGCAAGTGAAGACCGGCGGCAGTGCCGGCGTCCCAGTCAAACTGGGTGCCGGCAACGTCCCTGTCAAACTCACGGGCAATCCAGTACCTCTCAAAATCGGCACGGCCAATCTGCAGGGCAAGATTACGGCGAATAGCGTTCAAAAGGTCGGACAAGTGGGATCCACAAATGTTCCTTTGAAATTAGGTGCCGGCAACGTCAAGATTGGTACGAGCAACGTGCTCGTGAAGACAGCGGGTGGCGTACCAATACAAGCGGGTGTCGCGAATCTCCAAGCGAAAGGAGTGCCTGTGAAACTCGGAGCTGGGAATCTCCCTGTGATCGCCAGCAGCGGGGGTGCTATTCAAATCACCGGCGGTGCCTTAGGCCAGCAAGTTAAAACGCCAGTATACAAAATCGTAACGGCTAAATCTAGTGAGCAATCTGGGACAGTAGCGACCTCGACAGTAGCAGCGGGCGCGACGGTGTTACGACAAGCGACAGGCAACGCCGGAATACCAGTCATAATCAAGAAAACACCTGGCGGGAACGCTCAAGCAAGCAATGCACCTCAGTATGTCACCTTGGTTAAGACGTCCACAGGTATGACGGTGGCTACAGTCCCTAAAATGGCGATGGTACAGAACCGACCCGCCGTTCCCGTAAGCGCGGCACAAGCTCAGAATATCGCGCCGGGCGCTACGATTGTGAAGTTAGTGTCTGCAAACACTGTAGGTGGTAATAAAATCATCACGCTGCCCTCGAACGTGCTCCAGCTGAGCAAATCTGGTGTAGGTGGCAAGCAGACTATCGTCATCACTAAATCAGCCAGTCAGGCTGCCTCCTCAAACCAACCCCAGTGAACCCTGAAGTATCTCACGTTGTGAAGTGAGCCAGGATTGTGCCGAATCGAGTTGGATAGTATGCCACTGCGAGTGTGACTTAAATAATAAATTAACGATGCAGACGCAGTGGTATTCTAGAATGTAAATTTTTAATGTGAAACACTTGATAGTGAGTTGGTTGAACTATAGTATATTTTAAATCATAATTATAATAGAAATATGAGTTTTTGTATGTTACATGGGTCTGTGTAGAAAGTGTCCTCATAGTTTTTCTAAAATATTTTATTTACTCTCTTAATATTAATATTATTGATAGAATAAAATAATATTGTCTAATATGTACACTGAATCGTAACCACTTCAGGATCTGTCATTCTGTAGCCATAAACTTCTAAAAGCACTCATTTCTTTTTGCACTCTGAATGTTTATGAACAAGGTTTTCAATGTTTGTGCTCTGTTCCTAACATAGCTATGTGAAAGTGCCTGTACGTGAAGTCTTAATATTTTTTGAAATGGAAATAAAATGATGGCATCTGCAAAACTAGAATTAAGAAAACATACAGGTTTGTATGATTTTTTTAACCTGTAAGTTTGATTTTGCAATTTTTTTATTTATAAATTTATACGCTATGCTTTTACCTGTTGTACTCTTTGAAAATGAGCATACCTATCTCAAACACTTTGGAAAATTTATATTAAAATGTTTTGTCTTCCGCAATATTTTCCTAAAGAAACTTGCCTGTTTCCGTTTTATCTTGTTAACTGCTCAGTGTGAAATCTGTGTATTGATAAAATGCATAATTAGCCGGAGAAACTGTTTTATCTGCTGCTAATGTGGCTGCTGTTATTCATATGGATATTTCACAAAGTGTATATTATTCCTATGAATGAAAGCTCTAAGAATATGTTCAATCTTGTTTGGTTAGTTTTAGTATTACATCATAATATTAAGCTATTATTTAAGTTTTATATGACAAGATGTTAATGTTCATATCGATGTAACAATGAGTGTTGTGTCCGTTCTGCAAGCGCCTTAATCTTTGTTATTTCAAATTCACCGGAGGCTACTTTGTACTGATTATCCTGATAAATTGCTAAATTGCCCTCAATCCAATAACGTTGCCTTTTAATGTGACATGTAAAATTGTTGTGCCTACGTTTGTTCATAAACATGTCATATCTCTCAAAAACATGTAACAGGCATCCATTTTACATTGACAATCGATTGATAACTCATTATCAATAATAATGTTCTGTAAGGTAATAATTGACATAAAAATGCAGAATAGTATTGCTTTCCGAATAAATTCTATTCTGTAATCAAATAGGATTTGTCCATAACGAACAAGATTGGTGGGTCAAATTAATTATTTGAAATATATTTTTTATTTTATTGATAACTTAGGTATAGTGCAATCTTGTGTAATGGTATTCTGCATTTCTATTCGCGGTAAGTACGTAGTAGTAAGTATGTTCGTAGGATTATCACTGAGGTAAGCGAGCTACGGAATGTAAATATCATTAAGTAGATAAATTTAATGTTATAGTTTGTTCATATTATGTTCATTTGCTTGAATAAACGATTTGGATAATGTGTGGCTTTCATTATGGCGACTTTCCTTCGAGCGAACAAGTAATCTGTAAAGGTGATCGCACATATAATGCGATTCAACTAAGAATAGGACCGACTGGGCGCCATATTTTGACGTCATAACTGTCAATTCAAACCGAATAGGTAGAGTGAGCAAAACAAAGATTTTATTAAATAAAACTTCTAACTAAGATTAAGTTAGAAAAAACATCAGATTTTTTATATTAAAATATTGTGGGTTACCTATAATGCGAAGAGATGGCGCTGCCTTGCAGCTTAAGAATGGCTAAAGGAATTTCGACGCGGTCCGTGAGGGCCGCGGTAGCATAATTGGTCAGTGCATTCGCCCGGATTGCGAAGGGTGCGGGTTCGAGTCCCGTCTGCTGCCTGGCCCGCGTGGATTTTTTTCTAGTCATATTTTCTTTAGAATTAAAATATTTACTAAGATTAAGAAAATAAAACAACCAATTTTTAACAATATTTATTTATTAAGACTATGAGAAAAAACAAATCAGAATTTAGCTCTTCAATTGCGCTCATCTCTGCATTACCGCCGGAGTAGTTATGAATAATCATGCACTATTACCAGGTCACATACGAACATGCATCCTTTAGGTAAACGAATGTTTTTAAATTGAGTTTACGAACGCAACTTAAAGTGACATTTGGTTGACGGTTTAGGTTATCAATCATTCATAGCCAAAGCTCAATAAATGAAAAAAAATGTCAACCAATATTAATTATCAATATTTGTTATTGTTTGTTTACAAATGTGTGGTTTTCATTCTAGAATGCTAAAAAAGGGTTCCAAGTTTTTTTGCAAAACGTACTTTTCAAGCACCATTTGACAGTTGGAGGTCATTGGCTTTCCTATTCTTATTTGAATTGCATTATATGTCCGTACGCGCCGTATTTCCATATAGTAGAGACTACCAAAATGCGGCGCGTACGGTGCTGATGGAAGTGTGTGCGTGTGATAAAGTGATAAATGATGATTGCGTATTTAAAACGAATTCTAAATGCGGCGCGTGCGACGACGCTCCCGGTGCGGACGTAATGTGTGCGATTACCTTATGTAGTCACTATGGGCGTTCGATAACCACGGTAAGTAACTCATAATTTAATTGATATTTAACTCGTGGTCAATAGGGTAAAATAAAATTCGATACTCGTGGAGAATATCAGAATTTGTTGTAAGGTGTTAAAGTCGTCATATTTGGCTGTAAAATTCATTTTAGTTTTAAAAGGATGTGACCAGTGCTGAAAGCTTATTGTCCACTTTTTTGTACTTTTAATTAAAATTATAAAGCAGCTAGAACCCTGTTTGTCGTGAGGTTTGGATTCGAATCGATTGGATCGAAATTAGAACATTATAGTTCTGGAAACAAATTACCTACCTAGATAGGTAAATACTGTAAGCCAGCTCACCTACGTCCCTCGATTGTACCTAGGTATTTTTTAAATGTGAAACGCAGAAACTTTTTTCGTTTTGATGTTTTTATTATTGCGATTCAAAGATATTAACAACTGCTGTTGCTTGAACTGTCCTGTGCTAAGAATTAGGTATTGGGTAAATTGAAAGGTAAGTAGTGACCATGCGTGACCTCATTTACATACACTCGCCACTGTACAAAATGTATTACGAATAGCCAAGATAAAATAAAAATAAATCTTGTTGAAAATATTGTATGGCGGCTACTATGAGGACAGAAGCAGTGATATATTAGGGTGTTTATTTTGGAATACGAACCCCCTGCAGAGGTTCTCAAATCTCGAATGAAAAAATAAAATTAAATATAAAACAAAATTTTGTTTACATGGCTGTGTAACGGATAAAGGTTGCCTGTTTTCAAATAAGATAATGATTGATTTAACTCTTATTGTAATTAAATAAAAATGTATTGTTTAGTTGTAAAAGTGACATCTAGCGGATTATATGAACACCAACAAGTAGTTGACGCGCTGTTTTGAAAGGTGTTACGAGGTTGCTACCACGGTTTGACGTGTTTTGACAGTGAATCGTAAGATGTCGCTACTGTTACAATTTTATAAATTTCATAGTATGTACCTAGTTAATATCATAAGACAATTTGGTTAAATTGGGTATATTTAACATACTACATAAATATATATATTCTTAAAATAGAATTCTAAGAGTAAAAGGAATGAACTACAGAAGTTCTTCAATTCACGACATTAATATTCATCGTCACGAAATACATTAATGCAGGCACGCATTCTAGTAGAATTTCTTTCGTTGCACTCTAAATGCAATGCATTCCACGATTTTTCAATTGTCGGTGGCGATTACATTTCACTAGATCTATCATATTGGGAAAACCTAAAAAAACATGACAATGCAGTAATTTAAAAAGAAGGAAATAAACACAAGAATTTCAAATATTTTTTTATTTAGAATGCAAAGGATTTTTGAAGTTGATTTCACCCACTTTAAAAGCATCAAATTGATCTGAAACTGCACATTTAGCAAAAACGGATGATGAAAGTACAATTATTAAAAAAAGGCTAATAAGACTCAGATGCTTTTAAATAAACAATTTGATCCATTTATCTATTTTTTTTAATAAAACAATTTTAAACCAACCAAAGCCATCTACTAACTATTTTAAACTTAGTACTTCCCTAAAAACTTAAAAAATATATGGATGATAATATCTGAAATGAAAAAATATTTCCACTGAATTTATCAACTCTTAAGAAACTCAGAACAATTTAAAAACAATCACAAAAAACTTAGCCAATTTTCCAAATTAATAACGGTCTTCTACTTATAGTAAAAATATTTTTTAGCGGTATTCCTTTTGTTAGGTTTGTTTTTTAATCAATGATTAATAAGTATTTTTTTTAAATAAATTTTAGTATACTGCAGCAGCCAGCAAAAGTGGCATTAATGGACGAACGCGTTGACGCACACATAGGTAAGTCCATCAATGCCTAGTTGTGGCCAAGGCTTGTATTCGCTATGTGCGAAGTACATGGTGGGGGTATAGTGAAGCGATCGCAGCGCTTATCGTGGCAGAAATACGCAACAATTCGGGAAAGTAAAGTCAATTTGCACGGAGTTCGTAATAAACAAAAATTTTTTAAAATGCCTATTAATAGATGTTGTTGTGTTGTGAATTGCAAAAATAAGGGCACAAATAGTCTGTGTATATATTTCCTACATTGGACTGGAAATTAAATCAAAGAAATAAATGGATAGATGCCATAAAAAGAAATAAGTAAGCGAAATAACCTTAAATTATGATCAATTTTATTTGCGCTATATATTTTATGTGATATTCATTATTGTCTTTATTATTTTAGTGTTGATGGGTCGCCATGGTATCCCAAACCTGACGACACAATTTGTAGTGAACATTTTATGGGAAACAAAAAATCAGACGAGGAAGAAAATCCGAGTTATGCTCCTACGATATTCCCTGAAATATATCGAAAGAGGAAGGTTAATGATTCACAGGTCCTAGCTAGATATACACGCTTGACAAAACGAAGAACCACAAAAGTCTCAGATACCACATCAAGTCAAATAATAATTGAAGAAGGGAGTGAATTAAATCAAACTCAACCTTTTATGATCGATCAAGGATGTCAAGTCAATATGTTTTCTGAATCGAAATTAAGAGATACAACTTTTATTTGTATTAGATTAATTTACAGTGATCACTGTGATCCAACATCAAGAATTTTAATGACAAATAATTCAAGAAAGAAAGATAAAAGCTGTGGCACTGACAAAAAATCGTATGAGGATCAATCTACCGAAACAAAAAGTCAAGAATTTGTTGGTATTTCATCAATAACAAATGATCAAGAACTCCTAGATCCTTCTGGTGTGTCATTTAGCAATTTTGAGTTTTTATTAACAAGATTAACTATGAGAAAATGTACAGTTTCCACTAAAGACCGACTTCTGATTTTTTTGATAAAAATGAAAACTGGCTTGACATTTTCAGCATTGAGTGTGTTATTTGGTGTACAAAAAAACCACAATCTCACGTATATTTCATTCGATCTTACAAAATCTAGCTTGTTCAACTGCTAATTTAATCTTTTGGCCGAATAGAGCCACCGTACAAGCACCAATGCCCAAGTGTTTCAGTCCAGATTACATCAATACAAGAGTTATTATTGACTGTACTGAATTCCGAATTGAAATCCGACATTATTTAAATTATTATACAATATATAATAATTTTTATTTATCTTTACCTTACTATATTTACTAGAAATCAATAAAATACAAACTGATGTGATTATTTGGCATAATCCCGGAAAGTTGCGCATTGTAGGTGGCGCTACTGTCGTGCACATAGCGAATAATACTTTTCTCAAATAAAGCGCGGAAATTAAAACTTAGTAGTACCTAAGCAGAACTTATTGAAGTTATACTTCTTTAGGCGCGTTATGAAAATATGATGACAGTGAAATTTTAAGATGCGCGCGCATCACTGTAACACAAAATTTTAACAGCATGAAGTTGGTGGTCATGCGTTACTTTTGTGTTTACCGCACATTAACAAAATCTACCAACAAAATAGAAATAGAATCTCTATTTAGTGGGTGCTAACGACTGCATTGTGAAGGCCTATCAAAAGTATTTATTAATCTGGAAGAACGGAACCAAAGCGCGATTCAGGAGACTACAGCGCCATCTCTTGACCATTGGTGTAGTAGAACCAAAAACCACATCTTTATTTTTTGTAATAAAGTAACAGTTATAGGTATTCATATTTATAATATTTATCCACATGTTTCTAGTTTGTATATTCGGAATACGTGTTTGAGTTTCATACAAGTGCAAATCACATATGTTCTAATAAATTATATTCAGTAGCGATTTTAATTGAATATTTTGATTATTTATTTATTTTTTCAAATTAAAACTGAACTTTATTGACTGTGTCCTTTTCCAGACTTTTTATTAATTTATTGTAATTAATTATTTTTTAAGCAATTAAAAACTAATTTTAAACGATGCCAAAGAAGGATAACTTCTCACGCGCCTACTTAGGTACACGCACCCATTTTTTTTGTCAATAAACAGCTTTGTATTTTCAAATTATTTCGTAATATAAATATAGCCTTTGATACATTATTGGTTGCCATGATTCGGAATAGACTTGCAACGAATATTCGGTACCTATTCGGTATTCGGCATATTCGGCTGCTTTTATTATATTCGGCCGAATACCGAATATCTACATATTGTTCGGCCGACTACCGAATACTTAAATAATATATTTTGTCATATAGAAATAATTGGTAAAATGAAAAATTAAAATCGATTGATTACGTATATATTCATATTTTCATTTCTGTTATATAATCATTTAAGTAGTCATTGGTACATAACACGGGTACATAATCATCTTCTGAATTGGAAAAATGGAGGATTCTGTATTTGAATTATTGTGGTAATCAAAATTTAGAAGGGTAAGGTTCTCATTTCTTTTATAATCATTTATTAAATAGTCATTGGTAAGTACATAAAGCAGGTACATAATTTAATCATTTTCTGTATTAAACAATTAACAGTTTTTAATTTATTCAGTCATGTGATGAATGGGTACATAATAGCAATAATTTAAAGTTTACGCGCCGTTTTTGGCCATATCTCAAAAGTTGGTTTTGTCATTATTGGAGGACGGCAGATTAGAACAAAACAAAGGAGCGCGAAACAATCAAGTCTGTACAAGTTTTTGGCGCTAAAATCCAGCCGAATACTTTTGCCTAATATTCGGCTATTCGGTCAGGGGCCTCGCCGAATATTCGGTATTCGGTATACTGCCGAATATACTATTCGTTGCAAGTCTAATTCGGATTGAAGATTCGTTCCATTTTTAACAGAATTAAAAAAAAAAAGATAGTCTCAGTTTGAACTGTATCCTCTTTGGATTTTCGATATAGAAATGTGTATTTATCATGTTGGTTATTAAAAACGGGTTCTTCTCGGGTTTACCGCAGTCACAAGTTTGTGAATACCAATTCGACACGAATGTCATAAGTACGATTTTCAACACATTTGTGTGAAAACAGCTCCTAACCTATTCCTAATAAATGTAGTGAAAAAAACTTTTTCTAATAAGAAAATTACGCCACTTCCGGGTGTTGAAAATTAGCACTACATCTTTCGACTCTTGCTTTTAAATATTAAAGTGAAACAAAAGGACACGCACGGCGCCATGCGTGCGGTAAAACGTTTTACCGCACGCTCCGTTGTATGGCCCGTAATTTGGAACTTTCGAACAATGTATACAACCTGCGTAAATGCATTTTATAAGCAAATGTCTTGAAAAAGTAATTTAATTTTAATGACTTTGCAAATCTTACTCTTATAAATATTATAATCTTTGTTGGTACCTATTTGCATTGTATTCTCAGATAGGTAGGTACTTATGTATTAAACAGGTAGGCACATACTTGATATTTATATACAAATATTGACTACTTATAGCTATTTGCACCTTAAAATTTTTCATTACAAATTCCAAAAAGTGCTAAAGAATTTTATAAACATCCAATATGCTAAATTCCTTATCTACCTATATACAATCTCCAAATTCTTTGGCTTATTATTCTTTAAGTGGTTATTGAACCCTCTTCTCATCCCATCAGGCCGCACGTGATGATGCTGATGCAACTCCTGGAGGAGCCCTCAGGAGCCGCCTGCACCATTTTTTTCTTTTTCTTCCCGTTAGCGTCATACCGTTTCTCCTCCTGTGTACATAAACGTTTTTTTTATACAAGTTGGCGACCGAATAACCGCTCCTGAGGACAAAGTACAAGATCTTGACAGATCGTAATCTTCAACATTTGAATGGAAAAGCTAGTTTGTTCTAAGTCCGAATTAGTTTTCATAGAAACTCTAACGATGCGATACTTTACGGAGCTGTCAAAATCTCGTGCTTCGGCCTGTGATGTTAAGTGTAAGTGGATCCCAGTCGCGAAGATAGACAATGCGGCAGAGAGTGTACCGCTCCAGCCATCTTCATCTTGCTGCCCTGAACCCAATCCTCTACCCCGAGGAGGCCTTTTTTTTTCGAGACGAGGAGAAAAAATGCATAATACCCATATTATAGTGTGTATGCTGTTGGTCGCAGATGACCTTTACAGCGTCACCGGGTTTGGGGACGGCGAGATACTAAGGGGACCTCAAGCCGAGAATTGGCGAGTGCCTCTAGAGGTATTCCAGGCGGATAGCGTCTCCCCACGGGGGGAGTCTCCTCTCCGTCTGGTGCCTCCAGACCACTCGAACCTGAGGGGGTCGGCTCAACTAGAGGGCGTCTCTGAGACTCGGACTTCGGCTCTAGTTAGCCGTTATCGTGGGGGGTGGAAAAACGCCCAGGTACGTACCTGTACCTGGTATAGCGTGTCGTGTGTAGACCGGGTCTTCGCAATCTTATCCTACGGGTGCGGTGTCTGCCTAATGCTAAGCTAGTATGCACGTTTGCCTGCTGTGTAGTGTTGGTGTTTGTGGCCTGTGTGCGAGGAATCGGAGGCGCGTTGGCGCGTTGGCCGCACTCATGACACGATGGGGTCTCCACCCTCCGAATCCGGTGCAGGAACTTACCGAAGCATCCATGCCCGGTAAGAACCTGCACCAAACTGAAGGTCAGCGACCCGAACTTGCGGGACGCCCAGTCCCTGAGAAGCGGGCGCAGCGCGTCAAGATCTGCGCTAGCTCCCCAGGGGTCAGTCGTTCCCCGCGTGCCATCGCCAACATCCGTGCCTCATACATCTCCGCTAGAACATCGAGCTCCCACCGAGGCATACCGGCTAGAGCGCAGGCAGCTGCCCAAAAGACGGTTCGGTACGCGCGCACCGCTCTGTTGGCCGCCACTCGTTGCGGTCTTCTCAGGAGCGCCTATTCCTCTCCCCAAGAGCAGACGCCCACACCGGCGCCCCGTAGAGAGTCATACTTCTGATGACTCATGCGTAAAGTCGGCGGCACTCGTTGTTTGGGCCGCCGACGTTAGGCAGGAGTCTCCTCAGCGCTGTTGTAGCGCCCACGAGCCTCGAGGATTGCTGCTGGAAGTGCTCTCTGAAATTCTAGCGCTTATCCAGCAGCAGCCCCAGGTGCTTAAGGTGGCGCCTTAGCGGCAGCTCCACTCTTCCCACTGTGATGTTCGCGTCCGCAGGTTCCCCCATCCTCGGGCCATGGAAAAGTATCGCCTCTATCTTATCTACGGCCACGTCCAGGAGGTCACAGCGGTGTGCGGTCGATCACCATAGAGGCCCCCACCTCGGCTAGGCGCTTCGCGCCGTCAGATCTGTCGCCCGCTTCTGTGATGAGGGTATCATCGGCGTACCTAGCAGACAATCCCTAGCCCGGGCGGCAGGACGGCGAGAAGTACCCAGTCGTACCCCATGTTCCACAGGAGTGGTTTTAGTACCGACCCCTGTGGAACACCGCGCCTCATGAGGAAGCCTGGAACCCTACACACCAGCAGAAATACGCATCACCAAAAGGCAGTTATTTGAGTGCTGTCTTCTGTAAGGCGGAGGTTGCTTCCCCAGACGGACGGACGGAATGCGTGTCGGATGTGGTCGAGCCACCCGATTTCCAACTGGTCACGCACCGCCCATACCGCCCTTAAAAACCTTCAAAAAAGAGCGCTTTTTTAGCTTTTTTTTTAAGGTTTTCGGGTCGTATTGGTTCCGGAAGCACTGCTGGCGACAATATATTCCATTGGATCCTTACCTCCACAATCTCCCCTATCTTGTACTTGGCCATGATGGTTTTAGCGTCAGGAGTATGTCCCGACTCATCGAACGCCTTCGTGGAGTCCGTGCCAGCCTCCTCCATGATGCTGTCCACTCCGCCGGGATGCTGGAATTCCAGGAGTCAAAATATTAATAATTATCAACCGCCCGCGACTTAGTTCGAGTTCACTTTAGTTATGTTTTTATTTATTTTTTAAGCATTTAACTGCTAGATGTTTAAATCTAAAGAAAAGTTTACTAGAAAAAAAAAATCCACGCGGACCAGGCAGCGGACGGGACTCGAACCCGCATCCTTCAAATGCACAGACCATTATGCTAACACGGTCCTATTAGCCGCGTCGAAATTTTTCTAGCCTTAAGCTGCAAGGCAGCGCCATCTCTTCGCATTGTAGGTAACCCACAATGTCAAATGAATACTTTTTCAAGTATTAAACATTTTGAAAGAAGAAATAGCAATTATAGTTATGTTTATTTTTTTATTTTTTTTAAGCATTTAACTGCTAGATGTTTAAATCTAAAGAAAAGTTTACTAGAAAAAAATACGAAATAGGGCGAATAGGGCCGTGGTAGCATAATGGTCCGAGTAAATGGTTCGAGTCCCGTGGTCCGCGTGGATTTTTTTCTAGTAAACTTTTCTTTAACTTTAGTTTTTTTTTGAATACCACAGGAACCTAAAAAATTGTCGGGATAAAAAGTATCCATGTCTTAATCCAGATCATAAACTACTAAATATATTATGTGTACCAAAATTTCATCCAAATCCGTTCAGTAGTTTTGTATGATTGAGTAACAGACATACACACTCGCACATTTATAATATTTGTAGGATAAATTCCGGAAAATTCACCATCGCAACAATATGTTAATAAGTTAATAATAACACTTATTTTTTTCTTTATTCGCATAACTTCACTCCTTACAGAGATATATTGACTAGAAATGTCTTAGCACAATATTTACTTAGAAGTGACGTAACCAATTCCTAAACTTTGCAGCGCTTTAGTTTCTTCATTTTTGGTCGATTGACAAGAGAAAAAAAATACTCCATCCATTACTTTTTGTTTATCTAAGTGTTGCCGCACACGGGTCTCGCGCCACAGCCACAAACGCTGCCACGAGAAGCTAGAAGCGGCTACTAAGTGGCTGAAGCGTGCAACAGCGGCCGACTAAGGTAAGGGAGAGAGGGGTGGGGAATCGCGCGAGTGACGTGTGGCGGCGTTTTGTATCGGCGCATCAAGTGGCCGGTGCGGGCCACAAGAAGCGAGCAACGACGATTTGTAGCGTGTGGCGGCCACCGGCGTACCGTGTGTGGCGAGTCCATATAAAATGTATGAAAACTACAATACATATGCCGGTGGCGGCGTTTTGTGGTTGTGGTCGGTGACCCGTGTGCAGCGACACTAACTGAGGCCTAAGTAGGAATTTCAACAGCTCCATAATCCTTTTGTCATCATCAGTCAAATTTTGTATGGAAGGAGCCATTTGTTTCGTTTCGTTACCTTCGTTAGATGAAGTTGTTGACGTTTACAGAGCTTTCAAAATTCGGCCTCTTATGGACTAAATACAATTTCGTTTACTTTACTTCGGGTAAAGTATCCTACACACAGTGCCAGCCATTGCCATTGCTGCCGGACAAGCCGCGGTGCACACTGCGGTTCAAAAGCCGCCGGCATGGCCGCCGTTTTATGCGGGCGTCCCGCTTTCGCGGTTTCAGTGATACTCAACGACTATGTTTTTTCATTTGAGTGTGTATGCTGTTGGTCGCAGATGACATTTACAGCGTCACCGGGTTCGGGACGGCGAGATCCAGCAGTGTTTCCTAACCTTTCTAATACTGCAACACCTGTAACCTATTAGGAAAACAGATTTAACCTCCGTCATTAAAATGTTATCATTAGTCCAAGAAATTCCAATTTGGCCGCTACATCTTCGTCTCTAATAATGTCATCATCAGGAGAAAATCTCGGCCCGCTTCCCACACTCAGCACCCCGCGGGCTCGCTAGTAAAAAGGAGCGCAAGCTCTATTTAGTAGTATTATTATATAGTATTTTCTTATTATTTAGATTTGACCAAATAATTAGGTTCTTTGTTACCCCCAAAGTATGGCTGATTTACCCCCGAAGGGGTAATTACCCCCAGGTTCGGAACCCAGGCTCTAGAAGTATTTGAGGCGAATGGCGTCTTCCCACGGGGCGAGTCCCCTCTCCGTGTGAAGCCTCTAGCCCAGTCGAACCTGTGAGGGTCGGCTCAACTAGAGGGCGTCTCTGAGACTTGGATTCAGACTCTAGTTAGCCGTTGTCGTGGATTGTGGCACGTGCCGGCGGCATTGTTTGTAGGAGCCATAAACGATTTCGATGGTGACGGCACTATCCCTATTTTCATCCATCAGAGGCTCAAGGTACTAAACTATCGCACGTAAAAACAAATTGTCTCTTTCTATACAAAATTTGACGATGACTCTGTACATATATAAGTTTACTAGCGGCACGCCCTCGCTTCGCTTCGGTGTAGAGCTGAAGTGTAGACTACAGTTTTTGTTCTCAGGCTTGTTTTATACACAATGACATTCATCTATGATACTTCTGTTACCTGCATGCAAAGTCTCAGCTCGATCGGTTTAAAATTGACAAAGTTTCATACAAACTTTCATTCCCTATTTTATCCCCTTGGGGGTAGAATTGATCAAAATCCTTTCTTAGCGGAGGCCTACGTCATAACATCTACCTGCATGCCAAATTTCAGCCCGATCCGTCCAGTGGTTTGGGCTGTGCGTTGATAGATCACTATGAGTTTTATATATATAGGTTTCTCAATACAATGCATTTTTACCTCAGCGATGTAGTTGGTGAGGTCGTACACTACATCCTTGTACACGATCCACAGCGGCCCGCCGCCCTTGCCCTTGTTCTGCGCCACTTCTGCTAATGTGTACCTCCTTATCTCCGCCATTTTTGGCTGCAAGTAAGATTAATATATTTATTGCTATCCATAGTAAAACACTCTTTTTGAACGAGAAAAACAAACGCATATTTATTAGTTTTTTACATTATTCTTGACATAACGTCAGACCTTCTACAGACACCGTGCTCGCAAAATAGATTTTTTAAAAATATTTTTCTATTTTTAACTATTTATATTATAACTTTGTATTTGTAACTAAAATAAGACACATGGACGTTCGTAGATACGTGGTTCACGAATCTTGAAAATACCGCATCAATGGTTGTACCATATCTCGTTGTCCCCATTGCTCTATCAGAAACAATATCTAAATTCAGTTCAGATTTAAAAAAAAATATTAATGTCAATCCGTCATCTTTGTTTGTCAAAGTTGCGCGACATAGGATGCGCACCAAAAACGTAAAGAGGTCATTCATCGATAGATTTTACTCCTCACATTTTTCTCATACCGGGCCCCTTATATATGCAAATCGATTCTTGGAGTTTACTACTCCAAAAATACAAATTCACTATGTCAAATTGGATAAAATTCATATAAAAAATAAATAAATAAACATGTCAACCTAATCCTGTCTCATAAATTCGTCAACGCTGTAATAACATTTCTTCAACAAGAAGTCCCTCAATTTGTTTTGAAAAGATTTGTAGTCAATAATCGATTTCAAACTGATTGGAAGCCCATTAAAAATTTCGACCGCCTGGTACCTATAGTCATGTTTAACAACCTTAAGTTTAGGTTCGATCAAATGTGGTAGATCCTTCCTGCGTTAACCGTTAAGGCGCTTTGCAGACGACGCCGGGGCGGAGCGGGCCGGTCAATTTCGCCGCCAACGATAGCACAAAGTGAATCCTATACTACAAACGCACACAGGCATGCCCGCGGCTGCCCGCCGTGGATCATACAAACCAGTTTATATGCAGTAACGCAGACGGCGGCGCGGGGTGGATAGCTCAGTCCGCGCCACGGGCTTTTTAGTGATGGACTATTCACTAGAACGAACGTTCTGAACTGACTGCCTCTGCCTGTCGTGTGCTTTGTGTACGCGGCGAGGGCAGCCACAGACATCGACGGGCAGACGCGGTTTTTATCGCTTCGCGGACAAAAAGCCCGCCCCGCCCCGTCGTCTGCAAAGCGCCTGACCGTCGCGGCTGGATATCTTCGCAATCTGTGATTTCTGTAGCTGAAGATGTGAAGAGGCTGATGGTGTGACGCATCAGTTCAGGTATAATGCGCCATATTTTGACGTCATAGCTGTCAATTCAAACCAAATAGGTAGAGTGAGCAAAAAAATGTTGCTATTTAATAAAACTTATTATCTAAGTCTAAAAAAAAGTTTACTAGAAAAAAAAATCCACGCGGACCAGGCAGCGGACGGGACTCGAACCCGCATCCTTCGCTATCCGGGCGAATGCACTGACCATTATGCTACCACGGCCCTATCAGCCGCGTCGAAATTTTCCTAGCCTTAAGCTGCAAGGCAGCGCCATCTCTTCGCATTGTAGGTAACCCACAATGTCAAATGAATACTTTTTCAAGTATTAAACATTTGAAAGAAGAAATAGCAATTATAGTTATGATTTTGTGGTAGCATAATGGTCAGTGCATTCGCCCGGATAGCGAAGGATGCGGGTTCGAGTCCCGTCCGCTGCCTGGTCCGCGTGGATTTTTTTCTAGTAAACTTTTCTTTAGATTTAAACATCTAGCAGTTAAATGCTTAAAAAATAAACAAAATCATAATTATTAACTAAGATTAAGTGAGACAAAACATCAGAATTTTTAATAAAATTTATTTACTAAGGTTGAGAAAGAACACATAGTATTTCTTTATTAAGACTGTGTGGAAAAAAGCATTGATCAGAATCTAGCTCTTCAATTTCGCTCATCTCTGCGTTACAGCCGGAGAAGTTATGAATAATCATGCAGGTCACATACGAACATGCATACTATATGTACTTAACAAAAGTTTTAAATCGAGTTTCTGAACGCAACATAAAGTGACATTTGGTTGACGATTTAGGTTAACAACCATTCATAGCCAAATCTCAATAAATGAATAAAAATATCAACCGATATTAATTATCAATATTTGTTATTGTTTGTTAACAAATGTTTGGTTTTTATTCTAGAATTAGCAGAGTGCTAAAAAAGGATTCCCAGAGTTTATTGCAAACTGTACTTTTCAAGCGCCGTTTGACAGTTGGAGGTCATTGGCTTTCCTATCCTTATTTGAATCGCATTATACTTATTAACTAGCAGATAAACTTGAAGATAAGCGCCTGCACTCGCTGATAACATCACTTCATACTTCATGTAATCGACCAAACAAATATGTCTTTAAGCATTAGCATTAGTAATAGGGATGATGACTAATTTTTTTTTCTTCGTTTATCAGGTAGATTATCAAAAAGTATTGGACACGTATTTTTTCTTTTTTCACATAATATAAACATTGCAGAGATATATTGATTTGAAAAGTCGCATGACGTCACGTTTGAGTACACTTAAAAGTGAAAATTCACTCAAAAGTGACGTCACGAGCCCCTACTCCCAAACTTTGACGCGCTATAACTTTGTCATTTTTTGGTTGATTGCCCAAAGAAAAAATACGTGTCCATTATTTTTTGATCATCTAACTGACGGACTAAATAGAATTTCGTTTACTGTACCCCGTCATCACCCCTATTGAACCTCCCGAGGTTTTCAGGTTTCCGTTCTCACAAGAAATTATTACTTTGCTGTCCGTCTGTCTGTCAAGACTGTTTATCTCGGAAACGAGTGGTGGCATCTAGGGATTGCAATCCGGAAAAACGGATCCGGTAATCCGGCGGATCCGGTGCTACAATAAAGCCGACAAGTGTAGAAGCTGAAAGGGCCTTTTCGGCCGCAGGCTATAATATGCAGCTCTATTAGAAGTCGTTTAGCTGATGACGCAATTAACAATGTTTGTTTTCTTTTTTTTTTAAAGGATTTTCTTTTAATACTTTTTGAAGTTATACTTCTTTAGGCGCGTTATGAAAAAATGATGAGAGTGAAATTTTAAGATGCGCGCGCATCACTATAACACAAAAAAATAACAGCGCTTTAGCGACCAACTTCATGCGTTACTTTTGTGTTTACCGCACATTAAGAAAATCTACCAACAAAATAGAAATAGAATCTCTATTTAGTGGGTGCTAACGACTGCATTGTGAAGGCCTATCAAAAGTATTTATTAATCTGGAACAACGGAACCAAAGCGCGATTCAGGAGACTACAGCGCCATCTCTTGACCATTGGTGTAGTAGAACCAACATCAACCACATCTTTATTTTTTGTAATAAAGTAACAGTTATAGGTATTCATATTAATAATATTTATCCACATGTTTCTAGTTTGTATATTCGGAATACGTGTTTGAGTTTCATACAAGTGCAAATCACATATGTTCTAATAAATTATATTCAGTAGCGATTTTAATTGAATATTTTGATTATTTATTTATTTTTTCAAATTAAAACTGAACTTTATTGACTGTGTCCTTTTCCAGACTTTTTATTAATTTATTGTAATTAATTATTTGCATGCAATTAAAACTAATTTTAAACGATGCCAAAGAAGGATAACTTCTCACGCGCCTACATAAGTACACGCACCCATTTTATTTTTTATTTTCTTACAATTATTAATTAAAAGAATTATTTATCGTAAGTTGATTAAGTTAAAGAGTTCTAAACTCATTATTGTGATAATTTTTGCCATTCATTCGTTCGTCAGATTCATCAAATCATGGTGGTATCTGTCTTAAATACCTATAAGACTTGTTTTTTAGCATTCTTAAATACTTTAATAATGATTTAGATCTCATTTCAGTAAATTACGTAAGGTTAATTGTATCTGTTAGATATTATAGTTACTTGATAATTAATATTGTTACTCATAAATTGATCTGTGAAAGTGAAATCTAGAAAGACTGAGATACTCGTTACGCCGTAAAATTATTACTAATTACTCTTACACTACCAAATTTTAATTGTTTTCTTGTTGTCTATTTGTCTTGACATTGGTTAGGAAAAAAGTCGTTTCTATATATTTGTGATTTATATTTATAAACTACGTACATATAAGTGCAGTGACACTTAATTAACTTACTTATTTTGTACGAAAAACCGAAAATCATACTGATTTGATCAATCCGGTCGTATCCGGCCGGACTGAAAATGACACCGGATTGCATTCCCTAGTGGCATCTAGTTGAAATTTGAACCATATACTGAGGTATACAATCTTTTAAAGTTGTGAAGAAATTAACTTCTAAGTTAATGTAAAAACGACTTTTTATATTGCATAGGTACTTTAATGGCCGTAGCGTTTCGGCCTCCTTGCTTGTGTAAACACTGCTTAAGGAATGCCTACGGCTGGCAGTTGTATTAAAAGTAAAAGACAATGTTAAAATTGGCCTAAGAACCAACACCAATTTGGCATTTATGATAATTCTTAGTATATTTTTTGCGATAATTATCAGTATTTAGACTGTGACGGACACTTCCAGTTAAGTAAGCTAAATTAAAAAGTATCTGAGACAATAAATACCATTTTATGTGTATAATCTATGGCAGCGCTGCAAACAAAACACTCTTTCTTCCTAATGCCGGCACTTCACTTGGCTATTCATATTCGTATTTTAAAACATGACATCAGTCTGTCCTTTTCATTCCTTATGAAGCATGACAAGGACAAACTGTTGTCAAGTGAAGGGCCGGCATTAAACTCGTTACTCTGTGGTTGTGGTGCATGCAGTTTGCATTTGTAGTAATCTGTGGCATTCGTGCATTCCAAAGGGTACGGTCAGAGTGCACTCAGATTCAGATTCAGATTCAGACTCAGAAAACAAGCGCGAGAAATAAACAGTGAATTTGTTTCTTAGGTTTTCACGCACATCACTCATTAAATAAAACTAGTTTTTACGGGTTAATGCACGAAACTTTATTTATTTATTGACGTTTCGCAG